AGCGTTAAATCACTCTCCAGAACAAAGGTATGTCAGTTTCGCAAGTTGAAAAAGGTTACCAGCAGAACATAAGCGCAAGAAACCTAGTTTCGTGACCAGTTTGTTTTAGTTCGATCATACGATATAGGAATGTTGAATAACAAAGTCATAAAATGCTTTCATTTCTTTTATTTTTTTTTCAATTTCAAATATAAGACATTTAACTATAATATATAGAAAATATTAACCTTTACCTATTGCTGGAAATTACATCTATATTCTAAATTCTGTTTGAAATACAAGTGAATCTCCGCCTTATGGCAATCAGTACAGAAAGGAGTTTAAGTTTTTTTCTTACAATTTAGAACTTTATAATATCAATCATACTAGCCACCTAAAATTTTTACTTTAAGTTTAAGTGATCTGTTATTGTAATTGAGAGTTAAACATATTGTAGGTATTATTGAAATTTATTCTTTGAACTGAATGGAAAGCAATATACAATTTTTACATATCAGTTCGATTATTTATAGTCTGTAGATTTGTGCTTTAAATCGTGAATATATCATGTTGCATGTTACACTTTTAAAAATATTACGTATGCTTTTTTATGCCATTTGCACCAGAACACATCTGATAACACTGAAGTATTAAATGCATTATTTTCTATATTTTGTTTCTATGTAACCATATATGAATATTTTTAACAAGATATGATATAAAAGTTATTTAAAAAAATGTGATATTTTGCACGCCTTTTAAAACGAATATTTTTTTATCTACAAGTATTGCTAAAAATCGTAAAATAAAATTTGTTATATTTTAAAACGTGTGATAGTTGAGTTTTTAAAGTAATTTGTGTGCAGCATTTTTCATGACTATCAACAACCTTTTAATTTACAATCAAGAAAAGAAAAAATAGATTAATATATATTTAAATGTGCAGTAGTATTCAATAGATAAAATAAAAAATACTACACTTAATCCATTTAATTGTAGAGTAACTTACAAGACAATTTTTGCTTAACAAGCTTCGCAATCATCCTGCGAGATCGTTTTCAAAAGAACAGTAAGCATAGAACACTTGAACAGATACGAAGAAAAGTTCGGGAAACGAGAGTACATATTATGGCGAGCTAGGCTGAGAAGTTTTCCTGGCGTATTTGCGCCGTGTAATATAGAAGACAATGGCTTTGAATATCATCTCAGAAGTTCTTGCCCCAAGATCTTCTAGAATAATCTTTAATATCTATAAAAAGATTGTGATCCAATGCAAGAAGCACTTCAAAATTAATTTCTTTATTAGAAGTGATCTACGTAAAAGGAAAAAGTCAAAATTAAGAGCAAACAATTTATTTTTAGACTAATTAAGGTATAATATATACTTTAGTTAATTAAAAATTCTTAAAAAAACACGTAAAAGTACTTTAAATATTTAGTATTACGTAAAATTATATTAATAATAAATTGTTACATTTTTATACATTAATTATATTAATTATATTAATGCATATTTTATATTTGTTATTATACAATATGGCACATAAATATAATATTTTGAGAAGCGCAGCAGTAATAAAATTATTTGTAAAAGCAGACAAGTAGTATAGATCAACAATATATTTGGCAGATACTTGTAGATACACATATCTAGCCATATAGTAAACAGATGAGTTTTTGAAAAAGGCATTTTAAAAACAGAGACTTCAAATAAACTTGTTTATTTAAACAAGCATTTTATTATTTAATAGATGTATTTAATGGTCGTGTAAAAATTCTCATATTAAATTATTATTAATCTTGCAGCGTAATAATGTAAAGTATTAATAAACGGTATAAAGTATAGATAATAATATATATAATAGTGTAAAGTATAATAATATAAACATTTGATTAATTTTTATTTCGTGAAAAATATGAAAAAGGATGAATTTATAATGCTGCTTTAATATATAAAACCTTAAAAACAGATTGTATAATGCAAGTTATTTCCTGCACCGTTTTACACACTGATAATTCTGTTGAGAATACTTACGGCTTAAGCATAACGCATAATTTTCTGAACGCGAAATGACGAGTGTAGGAAACTATAAGCAAGAATTCCATGTGTCCAGTAAAATGTTCGTTTTATAAAACTTTTACTTTAATTTTCTTTTTTTTTTTTTTTTTTTTTTTGGAATATAGTGTCGCATGTAACGACGAAATAAAAACACTACAAGCAGTCATTTAGAAAGCATGCGGTTGCACTTTGCAGTTCACTAACAGACACGTAGGAAATATGATGATAATGGCAACGTTTTGGACAAAAGTTTATTCTTGCCGCAGTTTTTATTATCTGAAACAACATATGCGTGTTCACTCCAAACGCGGCGTACGCAACTTTGTTACTACAACGTATATAATACTTTTATTTTGTGTAAATTCGTTGTGTAACACATTGAATGCAAATTGCACAATTTCATATTTCTATAATTTTATTTTAATTATAATGACATTTTCAGGCAAACTGTTTTCTCATTATTCTCTAACAATACGATGCATCTATAAATTAATTAATGTTATGTCAAATTAAATTCTTGAAATTCTGCTTATATCATATGTAGAGGTAGATACGTATATTATACATTCGATAATTTTACTCTATATTTTTTATCGAAATAGAGAGAAGAAGGGAAGAATCCATTATTCCTGAATAAAGTTCTATTCGCGTATCCATTAAAATGTATATTCGCGTTTCGCGT